GCTATTCTTAAAAAATTTTTTTTAAATGTTTGTTTATTTTAGAGAGCACGTGTGAGCGGGTAGAAGGGTAGAGAGAGAGGGCTCTGCCTGAAGCAGGCTCCAGGGTCTGAGCTGTGAGCACACAGCCTGATGTGGGGCTCGAACTCACAAACCACGAGATCATGACCTGAGGCCGAAGTCGGATGCTTAACTGACTGAGCCACCCAGGCTCCCCAAGATGGCTGTTCTTTAAAAAAAAATTTTTTTAACGTTTATTCATTTTTTTGAGAGACAGAGAGTGAGTGGGGGAGGGGCAGAAAGAGAGGGAGACACAGAATCTGAAGGAGGCTCTAGGCTCTGAACTGACAGCACAGAGCCCGATGCGGGGCTCCAACCCACGGACTGTGAGATCATGACCTGAGCCTACGTCAGACGCTTAACCTACTGAGCCACCCAGGCGCCCCTGCTGTTCTTTTAATTACAGTTCTTTTATATTTGCATAAACTATACCAGGAAGAAAACAGAATTGAGAGGCTTGACCATTTTTATGCTACTAATCGAGTTAATTGGTATAAGATCATGATGTCTAGTTACTAGGTTAAATATTACATGATTCATGAGTAAACTCAACTTTTTAAGATAAATATAATTTACAACTTTAAGTGAACACATACAGTTCCTGGTACAAATATTTTTAAAAAGGTTGTTTTCTATAATAAACATTTAAAGACTGAAGGTTGCAAATTATTAGTCCTTGGAATTATTAAAACAAGCCTCCTAATATACAGATAAGATCTTTGTCCTTCTTAGGAAGTAGACTTGGACCAAAATTTAACTTTGATGACATGATACAGAATATGTATAGATACAACCTAAAATTTTATGGTAACTGGTATGTCTGTATTTACTAACTGACTTTATCTTTATTTCTAAAGCTGTGGATGGCAAGCTTTTTCTGTAAAGGGCCAAATCATATTTTAGACTTTATGGACAAAAGGCAAAGTCTAGGATAATATGTAGTATAACAAGAGGGGAAACTCTTCCCTTGCCCTACCTTGTTTGAGGGATGGGCTGTCTCAGATGGTGGGCATGCTTTGTGCCCACTTGCCATCAGATGAGACATTCTCAGAAGGAGGGGCCTTACAAGGGGGTGTGTGACCACTGGATCATTTTCACTCTCTGTTCCAGTGACAACCCAGGTCCTGGTGTGCCCTTGCTCAGTCATTTCAACTTAGGCAGCTGGCTGGAGGTGAGGCAATTTGGTGAGTTGCCAACTTCCTGACTGAAATTCCACTGGTTGGTGTCCAGTGATTGCCAGCAGTGGAGTCCCCAACATGTAGGTGCCAACCAGAGTGGGCCCTAGGCAGCTGTAAGGCATGTTGCCAGTTGGAGGAGACAGGCACTGGGAACAGAGTGGGGAAGAGGGGCACTAGGGAATACCTTGGCTTGGTCTTTGTAGCTCACAGTGCTAGCCTGTTCAGATGGTGCCAACAAGCCATATAAAAACAGGTAGCAGGCTGGATTTGTTCTTAGTGTGCCAACGCTTGCTTTAGCCCTTAAAGCCTACCACTTTAGTTGCTGCCTTATGTGTCCCACAGTAGTAATCCAAAGCAGTTGCATCTTAGGGTAGGCCTTACAGGCCATGCTGCTTCCCTTACAGGATCAAACCAGAAGATGCTATGGACTTTGGCATTTCTCTCCTCTTCTATGGCCTCTACTATGGAGTTCTTGAGCGAGACTTTGCAGAAATGTGTGCAGACTATATGGCGTCTACCATAGGGGTAAGTTCACATGGGCTTTGTTTTTTCTTTTTTTAGAGAGAGCATGTACACACACACACACACACACACACACAAGTTGGGGAGGGGCAGAAAGAGAGGGAGAGAGAATCCCAAGCAGGTCCTGCACTGTTCTTGCAGACCCTGATATGGGGCTCCATCTCACAAACCATGAGATCATGACCTGAGCTGAAATCAAGAGTCAGATCTTAACCAACTGAGCCACCCAGGTGTCCCCACACGGGCTTTTAACTGCCTCCTGACATCTCCAGACAGTTCAGGATAGCATCGCTTGTTTGATGGAAGAGATAAACCATAAAAAAAAAAAAAAATCTTTCAAGATATAAGTAGTATGGTATGGAGATTCCTTCCTTAAAATTTGGAAAGCCAGATCTCAGTTGTACCTTGGAATTTTTAACTTTAGAGCCATTGTAGGAAAGAACCACTTTACCATTCAGGAAGTTAACATTCATTTAATAGATATTTATTTAATGGTTCCTACATGCCAGGGCACTGGACTTATGCTGGAATTACAAAGGTGTACGTGGTCCTTGTCCAAAAGGAGTTTACGCCCTAGTGACAGAGATGGGTATTAAAGTAATAAATACACAAATAAATATAAAATTATAACCTCAATAAATACTATGAAGGAAAGGTTCATAATGGTGTGAACAAATGCAATAGTGACATTTGACCTAGTCTCGGGACTCCGAGATGGCCTCCCTGAAGAAGGGACTATTGAGCTGATGCATAGGAGTTAACTAGATGAAGTGGGAAGTGATGTGAGTGGCAGCTTCACCAAGAGACCTAGTGGGAGAATTTCTCACTAGGGTGGGGAGTGCCTCAAGCCCCAGCTCTTGACCCCTCTTAAACCCACATGTCTTTCAATACCTCTTAATAGCACAAGAACATAAGGATCAAACAGTGACATTGAACTTTATTAAAAGGTTGGGGTTGATAGCAGGAAAATAGATATGAGTTTGAATGAGGTTAGTCTGACGAAGCAGGGTATCTCCTTTCCCAGACTTTCAGACCCTGCCCCATCCAACTCTCGGCCTATCTCTGTGTATCAGGTGCCATCTTAGCACTCACCACCTAGAATCCACATCTAGACAACTATCCTCCAAGTGTCTAGACCCAGAGCCCATGTCTGACATAAAATATGCCTATACCTCAGGCCCGCCATCTGCATCCTGGTTTCTTCTATGATGATCCACATCTTCCCTAGGTAATTGACACTGAGAATCCTATCCCTATCCCTTTCAGGGGAGCTACTCTGCCTAGCTCTTGTCCAACAGAATGTGACCTTGCTGACCTCAACAATAATAACAGTTTGCTGTTTCCCCAGGCCCCCATCTCTGGGGGCAGGGAGCGGGTCATAGGAAGACTAACATGGCTTGTGACAGTACTGGGTGAGTCACCAGGAGTTCATTCATTCATAGTTTCCCCACAGCAAATGTTGCAGAGACTTAGTGGCAGGTTAATTGCTAGGGCTCAGAATGCCAACAGATGAGACTAGGCAGGGATATGGGAGAAGGGACTCTAACTCCAACTTGGGATAAAGGGATAGACTGCCCTACCTTTACAGTTCTTTTCACCCTGAGAATTCCAGGATTTTCCTATATCTGCCCCAGTCTTTAGTCAAATGGGCTGTGGTCTGCTTAGGAACACGTGGGCCCCTGAGCCACAGCAACCTGAATTTCAAGAATATCCCTGGCCTTGAAGCCAGAACCTGATGAATGGTTTGGGGAAGGCAGTTTAAGAAAGCTAGGAAATTCCAGCCTTCCATGCATTTGTTAGCCAACTCATTCTTTTATTTATTCAAGAAACAGTTATTTGTCAACCATTTATAGTGTGCCAGGTATGACCAACTGCAACCTTTACTAGCACCACCACTGCTCACTTCCAAGTAGCAGACTGAGTCATTTTTTTAAATTGTGGTAAAGTACACATAAAATTTACCATCTTAGCCATTGTTAAGTCTGCGGTGGCATTAACTACATTTACATTGTTTTGCAGCCATTACCACATCCATCCATAGAACTCTTCATTTTGCAAAATTGAAGCTCTGAACCCCTTAAATAATAACTCCACAGTCCATCTTCCCCACAAGCCCTGGCAACAACCATTTTACTTTCTGCTTCTATAAATTTGACCACTCTAGGTGTACCTCATATAAATGGACCCATGCAATATTTGTCCTTTGTGATGGCTTATTTCACTTAGCATAATGTCTTCAAGGCTCACCCATGTTGTTGCATGTGTGTCAGAATTTTCTCCCCTTTTCAGGCTGAATAGTATTCCATTGTGTACCTCAATTTTTAAAAGACTAAATAAATAAATAAGTGTAGCTGCTGAGATAATAAAATTCCATTGTGTGCCTATGCCACATCTCAGTCCCAGTTGTTTTCATAGTCTTTTGTACATTCTTTGATCACAGCTCTAATCCCAGAGAGTCATAGTTGATTTTGAAGCTGTTCCATCTACCAGGTCTGGAACTATGCTGACTCGTCTTTTGGTCCCCCTTGAGAGTGGTTTGACCTACAAAGATCTGTGATTAATTAACTTAAGGCATGCTAGAAATGAAACCATAAGGTTTACAATTGTATTAACATGCATTCTCAATTCCTTTTTACTATTCTGCACTACTCTTGTTTAGTGCAGAATAGCTGTTTTGCCTCACATGGAGTAATTGTAGTATGAACTAAAGTAACTCTTGTGTCAAGGGAACCTTGGATGGTGTTTTTTTGTTTTGTTTTTTTTCCCCAGCTGGTCACTGTGAGGTCATGAGCTTGTGATAATCAGTCATATAGTTTCCATTCATACCCAAAAGTCATGTTGGGTGGGGGTAGGGGGACAGAGGATTGTGAAATAGGCAAGCCTGTTTTTCTGGGGCTCAAAAGAGAGAACTGTTGGGCAGGCAGGGTAGTGGCACATTATTTCTGCTCCATTAGGCCATGAGTCCTGCCTCATGCTTTCTTCTCAACAAGTTTCTGTGCCCCAGACAACATTAGGACAGGACTGGCTGTCCATTCATCTGTCTGAAGTAGTGGAAAGAGCTAGGGGGTTAGAGTCAGACCTCATTTCAAATTCTAATCCACTTTTAATTAGCTATGTATTCTTGAGCAGGTTACTTTACCTCTCCGATCTTGTTTTCTCAGATGTAATAATATTACCAGACATAAAGAATTGTAAGGAACAAACAGGTTAATGCACAGCATTTTGCAGAGTAGCTTGGCCCATGGCACGTAGTAGAGGATGATGATGGTAGCTGTCATTTGTCCAGTGTACCTAGCATACACTAGTGCTTGCTAGAAAGCTACCTGTTTTGTATATGTGATCACCTGGAGCAGAGAGACCCTGTAGAATTTGTCTTTGTATCTTCATTACCCAACACACAGATCAAGACACAGAACAGACCAATCCTAAATCATGAGCATATGCCAGTTGTCTCTTGGATGCCATCTATTGTCTGAAGTCCTCTCAGACCATTCTGTCACATGGAATCTCTTCTATAACCCTGAGAAATGGATATTTTATTCAGTGTTTCACCAAGTTTCAACTGACCAGGCACCAGCTCAGCTTTGCCACCAGCTCTCTCTGACTTCGGACGAGGCCCTCCTCCTTGGGCATCAGTCTCCTCCCCTGTCGAGAAGTGGTCAGACTGGGTGAGCTCACAGGGCTTTCATGGTGTATACATTCTTCACTGGTGTGGCATGCAACTCCTCTTTGTTTCCTGAGCCCCTGCTGTGCACAAGCGCCTGTGTTGGGTTTTCTACTCACAGATTTGCACCCATCTTTCCTCCTTCCCTCTAGTTACAGTGGAGAAAATGTCCTTTCTCCCATCACAAGCCAGCCATGCCTACACTGTGGATTCCATACCCTCTTCCCTTCTCAGGGACCCATTGTGCTATCAACTTCCTTTCTCACTCATGACTTCAACTTCTCCTTCTCTGCTAGGCTCTTCCCATTAACTTTTGAAGCATTCTTTTTCAAAAAACATCCTTTCTTTGACCTACTTTCATCTCTAACAACTGACCCATTTCCTGTCCTTCACAGCTAAACTTAGAGAAAGTTCCTGTCTCCTTTTGATTGCTTTCCACATACTCCTTAGTTCATTCTAATCTGGCCTCAGCTTAAACCCTTCCTCTGAAATGACCTTTTTATTCAGGTCACCAGTGACTGTGTCACTAATTCTGACCTCAGCAGCCATCAGTTGCTCAGCCAACTATAGAATTGACTCAGCCACTCTATACTTCTTAAAAGGGTCTTTTCTCCTTGGCTTTTGTGATGCATCTCTATCCTGCTTTTCCTTCGCTGTCTTCTGTAGCTTGTCCTCCCTGGAATGTCACTATTCCCTGAGCTCATACCTAAGGCATCTTCAATGCACTTCACCTAGGCATTCCCCTTTTCTTTTTCTCTAACTTTCTGGACCTCTAACCCAGCACTTTTTTCAGTACCATATCTTTAGTCTTCTGCTATCTATTTGTCATCACCAGTCTGTCCACTCTCAGTTTTTACTGCCATCAAATTAGCCCAGACGTCCCCTTAGCGCAGGTCTCCAGCATCTCTTGCTTTTAAAGAATTGTCCCTTAGCTGGCCTCTGAATTCATGTTGGCCTCCTCTCCACTCCATTTTCCACGCAGGAGACAGAGTAATCTTAAAAATTCGCGTCTGATCAAATGCCTTAGATGACTTTCCATTTCAAGTCCAGAATTCTTCATGTGGCTGAGAAGGTGTCATAGTTTTCCTCTTTCTCACAACTCTAGCCACATTGGGTTCGTTTTAGTTTCTCAAGTGCACTGGGCTCCTTTCCACCTCAAGGCCTCTTCCCTCTTCTGCCTTTCTTCCTCTCCTAATGCCCACCACCCATTACCTCTCAGCCTCAAGAAACTTCTTGTCACTCTCTCAAGGAAACCTCCTCACGTGACCTAGGCCTAGTTAGGAACCTCTTTCTTACCCCTGTACTGCCTTTTTAATTCTTATTTTAGCCTACTTAGTAG